CTTACCGCCCGCCACCTTTTCCTACACTCAGACCGGTGCCGCTTATTTTTCTTAGTAAATCAGTGTCAGGAGAGAGTACTTCCCCTCGACTTGAAATATCAGTGGCATGTGATAAGGAAAACTATAGTTGACGTGCTTGGGTCTTTGGCAGATTACGTTTTGTAATGCTCTTCCGTTCCCACGCAGGGCAAACACAAGACGAAACGCCTAGACGGCGAGAGCGTTTTTGGCACACACGCCACGTTTATTTCTTCCAGAGCCCCCTCCCTACTGTAACTCTCATCCTCGACTGCTGGACTGACACGTTCGCGTTCCTGGGGCGCCGCGGCGCCACGGCGTGGGCTCGCCTGCAGGCCCGGGGCCCGCTGGGGCCCACAGGGGCCCACAGGGGCCCAGCACGATACCGGAAGGCCCCGCCCCTTTCCCGGCCTCCCCTTGCCACCCCATCACAGCCGCAAGCCCCCCCGGGGAACAGAGGGAGGGGAGGTGCAAGAGGCGCCTATCTGGTGAGGCGCCTACCGAGCACCGCGGCACCTCACGCACGCCGCAATCAATAGACATTTCAGTCCAGATGTGGTGCACTTTCCACTATTATTATCGGTATGTGAACCCTGGCCGGCGGCGAAACAAGGTAAGGTCGATGTCGATGGTAAGCAGTTTCTTTACTTTAGTTGTTTCCTGACTCCTGTGTAAAGCGAAGTCGGTGGGTGCTGCTCGCCTTCTGCCGGAGGAAAGGGGAGGAGGAGAAGGGGGTGCTTTCCCCCTACTTTTAGCAGTTGCAATGTTAGTACCTCAGGTGTACGCCTAGTGGGAACTGGTTGGACACATTCCGTGCCGATTAAAGTTTTAAAGTACGTGTTTTTTAGCTTAATGCCATTGGTTTACTTTTTCCAATGATACACAAGCCAGTGGTAACGCTTTCATGTCGATACTCTGACCAGACTTCATCCATCTCATGGCAAAATAACCAGCACACTCACTCAGAAACATTTGTGAGTCTCCGTCTCCCTCTCGCGGACCCAGCCCGCCAGCAGGTGCCCGTCACGTTCCCATATGTAAATGTCAAAACTATTTCGACACAACCCGGTCGGAGAAAATATTCGTCCATCACCTGTGTTGTTAGTTGTTGTTGTTTTTTTTTCAGCCCGAGGATCCACCGGGCCGCGAAGCTCCACAGGACTCTTGTGTGCGACAGGACGACGGCGGCAGGTAGTTCGCGATGATTGATGAGTGTTATCCTTGGTTTGAAACACTGGCACTGCACCTTCACGACACTGACGCACTCACACACACACGCACAAACACACGCTCACAGAAGCCCACGTGTCCACTGGGAGTCGTCACGTTGGGGAGGGGGGCGTATCCCCTCGGCGTCCTCAAAAAGCGCGCCAAGTGAATCGGCCGGTGTGCGGTCGACTCCGCATCTCCCGGCGAGCCTCTCGGCTGGGCTCGGCTCGACCCGGCCCCACTTCGCGAAATAGATGATGGGGTTGTCGCTGCTGCTGCTACTGCTGCTGCTGCTGCTGGCCGGCAACGACGGCGGCGGGTTGCCGGCGCGCCGCGGGTCGGCTCGACTCGGCGCGCGCGTTCCGCTGCTCGGCTCGGCTGGGCTCGGCGGCGACTCGGCTCGAATGCGGAGCGGGACGCGGGACGCGACTCACTGAGCGGCGCTGCGCTGCCTGGCCCGCGCTGCCAGGCACAGGCACGGCCCGGCGGCCCGGCCAGGCCCGACCCCAGCGCCACCAGCGAGCCGCGGCCGCCGCGGCAACTCCCAGCCCGGCCCGGCCCGGCCCCAGGCTCAGCCAGAGCCGCCCCAACCCCCTGCAGGCTGCGGTCCAGATGCGCCGCCACCGCAGCCTCCGAGGAGTCTGGCGGGTTGCCTACCGCAAGGCCTGGCGGCGGCGGCGTGCACATGCAAGTCGCAGCGCTGCCGTTGCCGGGCCCAGCGCTCTGCAAACCTGCAAGCCCAAGTGTGCGCCACACACCACACTACCTCCTACTGCCAAAACGAAATGGTAGTCACTCCCGCCCGTACGGATGCACGCGGTACAGTATAACTTGTAAATTATCATCAGGGGCATGTGTACCAACCTGAATGTATGCGCATGTCAGCAGAAAATATGTCAAAAGCAGAGGTAGCAAGATTTGCTTGAGTTCATCACCGTCAACCATAACAAGTTTGTACTTCACCTTTGCTACCGATTAAAGGACGGCTCACTGAAAACCTTTGAGTGAGGTGTCGTGCTCGCTCAATCAGAGCCATGACTGTAATGCTCACCCTATTTGAGTCATATGCACCGAATTCTCACTCTGGAGGAGTAAGATTTCCTTGACCTCGCCCAATTGCAATGAGGAACCTCACTTTCATTGGGTGAGGACTAGGACCGCAAATTATGATTCAAGTTGAGTGAGAGTCAGATATCTCGCTCTCAGGAGAATAAGATTTTTTGTGTAACCATGAGAGACATGGTGTAAGTGATCTCACTCTCCTGAGAGTAAGATTTCTGACTCTGGCATTTTCAGTGCTCCTATTAGCAAAACATAAAACATAATCCCCCCCCCCCCCTGGTAAAGAAACAACGTAAAACAAGTGCCGAGAGAACTGACCAATTTCTGATAAAGTGGGTTGGCCTTACATCATGAAACCCGCTACCGTTACGAGCAGACACTAGAACGAATTGTTTCTGGAACAACGTCGAACAAATGCCGAGAAAACACTGTTAAAGTCTTACGAAGAAAAATACGAAGGATTTGGAAGCTTCGTAGGAGGCAAATCCTTCGTAGGTACGAAGGATTTGGCATTTTGCTTCGTAAAGTTTTAACTGTGAACAACTTAGCGGAGCAGAACAATGTTCTCTGGTGATGGGAATGATGTCAGGCTCATATGAGCCATTGAGTTTCCTCATATATCTCGCCATTATTTCTACGCAATTTCCAATGAGGTGGCGAATAAAAATCACACCTACACGCAGAGATTGGTGATTTCATGGGCGAGGCTGCCGAACACTACGGCAGTTTTTTGTTGTTGTTTTTTCGTCTCTTTCTCTGGATTTCGAAAGGTTGGCGCACCAACAGAGCAAAAGCGAGTGAAGTCCCGCTGTCCTCGGGCGGGACAAGGAAAGCCACCGAGTGATACATTATTCACAGTCAAACCTGTGAATAATTCCCCCGCGATAGCGACGCCCGCGCCGCGTGGGGGGAACGGGGTTGGGGGCCGGGGGACAGGGGGCGCAGACAGACAGATAGACACGGTACGAGCCGAGCGCCACGACACCTGTCAAAATCTGTGACGACGAAACGATGAATCCCAGATTTTTTCTCTCCCCTTCCCCTCCCCCCTCTCCCAACGTCCGCCAGCTGCTGCGATGGAGATGCGAGTCGACACCCCCGCCTGCATCTGCAGATGCGGTGGCGGTCGCGGCAACCGCTTTGGAGCTCTCACACGTGAAGCCGCTGACACGCAAACTGCGCGGCACAGCAAAAGCGTGCAAAAGCGCGAGTGAGCGCAACGAAATGAGACCCGCTATTTCCCCGTGGCCTTTTTGCCGTTTTATATGTGTTGTGTTTTTTTTGCTGTTTTTGTTTTTTTGGACCGTGCTAACGCCATGGCAGCCGCCCCGCCCGCGCGCCCTTGTCCACGTCGCAACACACCCGCCACATCACGCCACGGGGCCATGAGTCTTCCTAACAAGGGAGCCCCTCTCTGGCCGCGCCCCGCCCCGCCCCGCCCCGCCCCGCCTCGGCCCTGCCGCGCCACAGTCATGCAAGAGCAACGTTGTAAAACTTTTTCCCGGTGGTGCATTCCAGGCCACAGCAACCAGCCATCCCTGCCCGGGAGAGGTGGGGTCGGGGATGCTGAGTGCGGTGGGGTCGGTGGGGGAGGCTGAGCTAGGCTCTCAGGGCCCGCCCGGGCGGGGCGCCCCGCCAGAAGGGAGCCCACGGTCCGACACAGCTGACCTAGGACGGAGATGGGGAAGATAGGCTGTGACTGGGGCTCCCGCCTCCCCACGCCACTCGCCCCATCCCGCCCCGCCCCGCTCTACCAGCCACCGGGCAGGGCGGAGGGCAAACCAAACACCAGAGAGGGGGAAACGGGCGTAAACCAAGGATGAGATCCGAGAGCACAAATCGACCTCACACGAGAGAAAGAGAGAGAGAGAGAGAAATGTCTCCTGAGGGCAAACAGTGCGTTACACTACTTTTACACATTTTGTTGGATTTCGACTTTTCACGACTATGTTGAGAGTGTCCATCTCCCTATCAAGGGAACCTTTTCAGGGGAAAATCTCCGATTTCGTTGATAGTTGGAAAATTTGAAGGTTATTTATGTAGAAATCGGATGGCACTTGAAATTTTTCCTAAACATCACAATCAGTTTTCCCCTATATAGGGTAGGAGTAAGGTTTCCGAAAAAGATATTTTTTGAAAAATGTAAGACGGTGTTCTAAATGGTAACTCGTCAAAGTAGCGTTTTTTGGGCCAAAATTTTGCCGTTTTGCTGTATTTTGTACCGTTAAATAAGCGGTAGAGGGATATTTGGGACAAAATAAGGCATAAGTAAACCCCTACTGTGAGGTTTGGGAAAAATTTCAAGTGCCATCCGACTTCTATTATAATAACCTTTAAATTTTCCGAGTTAGAAGGAAATCGGAAATTTACACCTGAAAGCGTTCTCTTGTAAGACAGCAGCAGTACTTCACTATTAACTCCCTCTTGCCCCCTTCCCCACACTCTCCAAATCCTCTGAGAGCTGCGAAAGCGACACACCAGTCGGCTCGAAATGAAACGATTACGGCGCATGGCGTGAGCGCACTACCATAACCTCGCAGATTAGCGCTCCAGAGCAAACTTATCCTTCTCTTTTGTCCCGGCCTGAATGGCCTAAACATAGCGGGGTGCTTTGCCGCCCCGCGTCCCAAACCCCAACTTTTGCTTCTTTACACACTTTGTTTTTTTCTTTGTTTTTGTTTTTATTTTCATTATATTTAAGTCACGAAAAACGTACTTTCTGTTCTTCTGTGGTAAAGTAGGGAATGCATAACCGCGCATAGCAAAAAAAAAACGTGCGCAACTTTTACGAAAATAATAAAAAGAGGATAGAGCACCAAAAAATTGTGAAGAAAGTTGTCCACCTTCTCTATTCGGTGGGCGTCCGCTGGCCCGGCGTGCCACGCTCGCCTCGCCCCTTCACTTTTGTCTGTACGGTGGACTTCTTGCCGACAATAACAACGGCAGGAAAGCGCCATTTTTCTCCCCATTTCTCTCCTTTATAGCTATCGTCATCCCTCGCGTGGCGCGGCTTGGTGGGGCGTAGTGGGGCGTGGTGGGGCGGGGCGTAGCGGGGCGCAGGGTCGCCTGCCTGCAAGGACTCCGGTACGCGTTTCAAACTTTTATCGAGACAGCCCTGGGCGACGCATAACCTCGATTGCGCGGGAGCGGCGCGCCGGCGGACCCCGCTGCTGCCATCGACAACATTTCACGGCAAAATACCAACGGTGAGGGGGGGGGGAGTGATCAGCGTGAATGTTGAGTTTTTACAAAAAGAAAACTAATTGGCCGTCTTTATAAACTGATTAATCCGTCCTCCTGACCCCCCTCTTTTTTCCCCTCTATCTTCCTGGACCGAAAACCAATAAACCTCTCCCTCCGTATAGTGCAATTGCGCCCTGAGCAGTAACTCTGGTCAGTCACGTTTTATTCGATCTTCATAAACAAGCGGGGTGTTGGGGGCCCCCGCCACCCCGCCGGCGACTGCAGCCGGCATTATTTATAGTGCTCCGGGCAAGAGCGAGCAGCGCTGGCGAGCGTGACCAGGAGCCATTCGGCACCATTAAGTTCAGTGGCGCCAATCACAACAGCGATGAAAGCTCCATAATGCTGCACAAAAGAGGCGATGCGGCTGCTGCTGCTGAGATGACAAGCACAAATTCGAGAGGCGGAAAGGAGAGGCAAAAACCCGCAAAACAACAACAAAAATTTGCTCAATCAAAAGAGTTAACAATTTTACCACCAAGAAATATGTCGAAGCTAAAAATTGCATCCTTAAAAATGTACAAATATTATGAGTGCGCTCATCAGTTTTCAATGCATAAGTTCGCGGAGCCATTCTAGCTATAGGAATAAGGTCACTTATTTGCAGTACGCCGCGGCCTGCCGAGGAAAATGACAAAGGGCAGCAGCCGCAGGGAGGCACGCGGGGCGAGGGAGTAGAAGGGGCGTGTGAAAGGTGAAAGAAGAAGAGAGAAGGGGCTGCGGCGTGGCGGGGACACAACGGTGAGCAGTGGCGGGGTGGCGCGGCGGTCCTCTGCCACCGTACATGGCGCTGTGCTGCGAAAATGTGGTTATGGCCTGCATGATTTAGTAGCAGGAGGGCTGCGCGGGCTGCGCGCCCAGCAGCCTGGCCGCGGGCACGGCACAGCCTCCGCCTCCTCGCCTCCTATCCCGAGGTGGGGCGGGGCGGGCCCGGGGCGTGCCTGCTGGGGCGGCGGGCCCCGACGCACGGAGCGCCCCGCCTACGCCTCACCTCACACCATCAAAGCCCGCCGTCCTCTACCCCATGGCCCTCCTGGTTCTCCAGGCCAACTACGGTACTCCCACACAACGCCATGAGACACATGAAGATGTTTCACATTTCCCCTAGCTTTCTGACATTCCTCCACATTTTGGCACTTTGAT